ATAAGTATAGACATAAATACATAAAATAATAAATATAGACAATTATGTAAATATAATTGTCTGCGTTTGCAAAGCAGACAGTGCCTCTGAAGAATGTTTTACCCAACAGTTCTCAGCACATCTTTCTATAGATCTGATATTAAATCCTTTAGAAGAATCAATCAATGGTATCACTTCCTAAATGTTGATATTCATCAACATTGTGGGTTAAGGTTGAGTAAATCTGTCAGAGATTGGGAACATGAATTTATTCAAACTTGCATCAGACCTCAGTGTCATTTCTGTAATTAACTATTTGAGCTTGGACAGAAGTGGGAAATTAGTTTTCTGTAAGATTCTTTTATCACCAGAGTGTGAAATTACAGAATGTTGTATCCACCTGCACTAAATTATACTCTGAGAAGAACAGAACTGCTGCAAAACCTGTGAAGAACTGTTGCTTTTAACTAATAAACTCTGATTTTTTTTCTCTTCAGTTATCTACATATTTGAAGCTCTCTCTGGGAAGCCACTGGGAGATGGAAAACCTCTAACCCACAAGGTGAAGTGAAGGATGTAATGTCCCTGTTTTATTACACTTTGAAATTAAGAATCAATAATGGATTTCTTCAATAATAGGACTAAAAACCTATTGAAGGTTTACAGTCCTAATAGAAAGAAGCTTTGAGCTCTAGCTGCATTGTGCTTGTCTTCACTCCTCTGATATATAACAAGAGCAGAGCTGCAGCTTTGCTTTAATCTTCATGAAATTCAGTTTATAAAGTCACAGAATAACTTGGAAAGGACCTTAAAAATCATCTGGTTCCAACCCCCTGCCATGAAATGATAGAGAGAAGTCACACACAAAGTGTCTTCACAAAGCAGTTTATAAGAGTTTTGTACCTTTTTTTAATAGGAAATCCTTCATTTGGTTGAATGTCACATGTTTTCTGGGATAGGAATCTCCAAAATATAAATCAAATGTAAATATCTCTCTTTTCCCCTTTCAGACAGAAATTGTGGAGATTGCTTTGGACCAGAAAGGCCTTACAAGTGAAAGGAAAATAGCTTTTATTGATAAGAACAGAGACCTGTACATTACGTCAGTGAAAAGGTTTGGGAAAGAGCAGAAGATTGTCAAAATAGGTAAGGAAAATTCAGATTAATTTAGGTACATTCTGGTAGGCAAATAGAGTTGTATCTAGTGCAAGAGACAACATTTTGCTTTGCAATTAGTAAGTGAAATTGAAAACATAAGAATAGTCTTATTTCCATAAGAAATAGTGGTAGAACCAATTTTAGTATATTTTATCTACATTCTGATAATATGCTGATTAATAATTAATAACATAGTAATTAATAACTGATAATAAGTTGCACATAAACTACACTAAGTAACAGTAATTAATAGCTGATTGTCAGTTACACATAAACCACACTAATAACTAACAGTAATTAATAGCTAATCACCAGTTCCACATAAAGCAGATGTTAAGATGATATCCTACAAACCAGAGGGTTAAAACGAGTTCTGAAATGAACTTGACATGAGGAATAATTATCCTTTTATCCAGTTTGAGAAGTAAATTTTTATTTTGAAGTTCTTCTTGGAAATGCCTATTATTGTCTTTATATTAGGGACAATGGTGCAAACTTTGGCTTGGAATGACACGTCCAACATCCTCTGTGGGATTCAGGACACTCATTTCACAGTCTGGTACTATCCCAACACAGTCTATGTGGACAAAGATCTTCTGCCCAAAACTCTCTGTGAAAAAGATGCAAGGTAATATGTCCTTTTTGATCCAAATGTGATGTATTTTAACTAGTTTTCTCCTTCCTTACCAAATTGTGTCAGTTGAAGTAGAAGCCAAAGTTGGAACTTTGAAGTCTTTCCATGTTATTATTTCTTGATTAGGAAATGAGGAAAAAGTGGTTTATAAGGTATATCATAAAGTTTGGAGTTGAAATGACAACATAAAGGTTAAAAGTAGAAAAATATCTTGATGCAAAAGCAGAATTTTAATTATGGATCATAACATCTTACCTTATTTTTTTGTAAAAACAAGCAAAGAAGATTTAAAGTATCTGAAATTCAAAGTAGCAGATTTTAGGTCGCAGATAATTTATGTTATATTCTCTATAGGAAAGAAGTGACTATTAACTTCCTTTTCTTTATCCACACAGTGAGTTCAACAAAAACCCCCAGATAGTGTGTTTCGTAGGAAATCAAATCACAATTAGAAGAGCAGATGGTTCCCTTGTCCACCTGAATATTTCTCCTTATCCTGCACTTCTCCATGACTATGTCAGTACTTCCAAGTGGGAAGATGCTGCCAGGCTGTGTCGTTTTGTTAAGGTAAATCCTAATTACTCACATACATTTCACTTGTATTTTCAAGCAGTAGTTTAATAATGATATTTTTCACATCTCAGTTCCATTCCTCTGCTTTATTGCTGAATTTTTTTGTCTGCTCGTGAAAGATTACACAGTTTTCATGACAGTGGATGTGAAGCTCACCATGAGCTGTCAGTGTGTGCTAGCGGCCCAGAAGGCCAATTGAATCCCGGGCTGCATCCAAAGGAGGGTGGGCAGCAGGTCAAAAGAGGTGATTCTTCCCCTCTACTCTGCTCTTGTGAGACTCCACCTGGAATACTGCATGCAGTTCTGGTGTCCTCAACATAAGAAGGACATAGAACTGTTGGAGCAAGTCCAGAGGAGGCAACAAAGTTCATAGGAGGACTGGAGTATCTCCTCTATGAAGACAGGCAGAGGAAGTTGAGGTTGTTCAGCCTGAAGAAGAGAAGGTTGTGTGAAGACCTCAGAGCAGCTTTCCTCGATCTGAAGGGGCTACAAGGGAGCCTGCAAGGGGCTCTTTGTTGGGAATTATAATGATAGGACAAGGGGTAATGGGTTCAAATGGAAGGAGGGAAAGTCTAGGTTGGATGTGAGAAAAAAGTTTTTCCCTGTGAGGGTGGTGAGACACTGGCACAGGTTGCCCAGGGAGGCTGTGGCTGCCCCAACCCTGGCAGTGTTCAAAGCCAGGTTGGATGAAGCCTTGAGCAACCTGTTCTGGTGGGAGGTGTCCCTGCCCAGGGCAGGGGGTTGGGACTAGATAATCTGTAAGGCCCATTCCAACCCCCAAATTCTATGATTCTATGATAATATTCAAAGCAGTTACTATATTAAATAGTTACTTACTATACATAATTTAATAATATAAATTATCCATAATAATTCTTATTTCTAGCCACACCAAAGTCCAGCTGGATTGAACACAGAAGTTAGTACAAACTTAAGTTTCCAGGATTAGGCCTTACTGTAAGCAACTCAGTGACCTGAAAATCCATAATTACCTCTTACTTCTCATCTTTTCTTTCACTTGTTTCTGTTTTCTTTTCCACTGCTTTCTTTTCTATGTATTTAGGCAACAGCCACAGATGAGGTGAGTCTGGTAGTCTTTAAAACAGAAAAAAATCTCTCCAACCCTTAGTTCCTTTAGCTCATTTACTCCTAGAGAACAGTTTAGCACTTTGCTCATGAGCTTAAATGTGTATTTCAGGTATTTCTGTGACTGTGTTATTAAATCAATGCACATCCAGGTAACTTTGGCTGTGTAATTATAATTAATTGTAATATAATCTTGGTTTTCAGTGTGAAGAGTATTAACATCATCTAGTTTTATGCATCTAAGTTAAGTTGTTGTGTTGATTTTGGCAACTCAGGTAAACACTTGAAAGTATTTCCAGTAGGGGGGAAAAAAAGACCAGCAAGACCCATCAGTGAACAACTAGAAACTTGGTCTCCTGGATAATTTCAGGCTGAACTTTCAGGATTTTATCACCTTATTTTCTAAATAATAGAGATGTGGGATGAAAACATGACAAAGATTTTATGAACACTTGATTCTCTGAACAATCTTAATTCTGGGCTACCTGCAGGAAGGTTTATCTTGTCCTAAATCATGGTAAAGGGTAAGAAAAATAGTAAATAGAAGCAATAAATAAGCAATTCTGTGCTGCTTCTAAAATTCATCTTGCAAAGTGTTTATCTTCACACTTGTGACTGAACATATTCAACAAAAATAACATAACTCACTTCATTCCTAGAGTCCATGTAGAATAACAAGTCAAAAATGAAATTTTTCCTGGCTGAACTAGAGTTTTCAGATGTGTAATGGTAACCTAAACTGTGTTAGAAATTTGTTTTAGCAGTGTGTTTTTGTCATAGTGTTGTCAGACTTGAAAAGAAAACGTATCAAAATGTCATTTAGGATCTTCCTCAATGTTATTCTGAGTTCTTGGAGAAGTCATTTCTAACATGATAATAAATATTGGAAGCTTTAGGAGCTGTATTTCTTTTCATTTTAGGATCAGACCATGTGGGCATGTTTGGCTGCCATGGCAGTTGCCAACAAAGACATGGCCACAGCAGAAATTGCCTATGCAGCCATTGGGGAGGTAAGAAAATGAAGTTAAATTTCCAGTTAAAGCTAATTTTAGTAATTAATTTCCCTCATTAAACTGCTCTTTTCCTCCTGAACAGATTGACAAAGTTCAGTACATCAATTCCATCAAGGATCTTCCATCCAAAGAGTCCAGGATGGCTCATATGCTGCTGTTCAGTGGGAACACCCAGGAGGCTGAGACCTTGCTGCTCCAAACAGGCTTGATTTATCAAGCTATCCAAGTCAACATTAATCTTTTCAAGTGGGAGAGGTAGGATTTATTCCCATTGATACCTCTATAACCACTTTTCCTGAAGGAATCTGTAAATCATTCAGATCAGTTGTTTTATTGCAAATACTTCACTAATTCTCCATCTCTAATCACTCAAATCTCTAAAAAGATTTCATAAATCATATCCTGACAACAACCTAAGTAACAGCATTTCTGTGTCATATTTAGAAGACACAAATATTCTGTGATAAAAGTCCTAAACATGCTTGGAAGCATTTTTAAATAACATTTTGCTTTCTCATTGTTGTTAACACAGGAAAGTCCTTAGTAATACCCCAAACTGTATGTGACCCTCAAGGAATTAAAGCTGTTTTGAAATGTCTTGTTGCTAAAAATAGAGCTGTGGCTATTCAGGCTCCCAACAGTGTGTAGGTGGATGAAATAGGAATTAGGCCTGAGGAAATCAAGCAGGAATCTCTCCTTTAAACAAAACCCCACGTTTTCTGACACAATCTCCTCAGGCCATTGACTACTAATTTCTCTGCTATTATGTTCCTATCACTGTGGGCAAAAGATTGTTTTTCCATCACATATCTGTGTTTTTTATCTTGTTGCCTAATATGAAGCTGTGTCAGAGGAGGTTTAGGTTGGATATCAGGACAAGGTTCTTCCCCCAGAGGGTGTCTGGGCACTGGAACAGCTCCCCAGGGCAGTGGTCACAGCCCCAAGCCTGACAGAGCTCAAGGAGTGTTTGGCCAATGCTCTCAGGCACATGGTGGGAATGTTGGGAGTGTTGGAGTGTCCTGTGCAGGGCCAAGAGCTGGACTGGATGATCCTTGTGTGTCCCTTCCAGCTCAGGACATTCCATGGCTCTGTGCATCACCTAAAAACTGTGTATATCAAACCTAAGTATTCCTTAAGCCATGGAGAAGAAAACAGACGAGGAATAATTTATACTAATTTATTTACCAGTGACTAATGTATATTTATATAATATTTAATACACCAATGACTATAAAGTATCTGTAAATACTATACAGCACATGCCATAAATGTGTATTATGGTTGTTCAGAACCTATTCCTGACTCTTAAGAAAGTTGTTAAACATTATTACTTTGGCCTCTTTCTAAGGAGAATGCTAAACTCTAAATTATTCTCTATTTCCTTGAAATAAAAAGCCTCCAATGAGGCTGTGATAAGAAATAATTGCTAGGTATTTTTCATCATCAAGTAGCCAAATCTCCTTCAGTGGCTACTCTTAACCTCCTGTGACTGCTGCTAAGGTGGAGCTCTTGGCACTAGGGATTAGGGGTCTCTGCCTATAGCCTCAGCACATCCTTTGGCAACCCCCTGGTGATTGTGGTTGTGCCAGAGCATTTCTCCAGCCTCTCAACTCCCTTTCTGGTGTATTGCAGGGCCCTAGAACTTGCAGTGAAGCACAAGACACACGTTGACACAGTCCTGGCTTATCGACAGAAGTTCTTAGAGGATTTTGGTAAAAAAGAAACCAACAAAAGATTTCTGCAATATGCAGAAGGTGTAAGTATTCCACAGAGCTATTCCTGCAGCCTGAGAGAGACAGTTTTGGGGGGTGGGCTGAGTCTTGCTCTTAGATATTCCTTTAGGTCAAATTTGAACATAAATGTGAAGTTTTTACATCCAAGTACAGTTTCATGGCTTGATATGTGAACTTGGCCACTCATAGCTGTGCATGTGTTTCATTTGAAGGCACATATACAGAATGGGTATATTGAATATCTGGCAAAGATTTTACAAATGAAGGCACAGTTGTTTTCTGTAAACAGGGAGTTAGACTTTAGCATGGTTAACTGTAAGTATCTTCAACATTTAAATGTTATTTTATGGGTAGTGGCAATAATGACCTTTGAAGGTGTCCAGGTATTTATTAAGTGAATTAATAACCAGCCAAATGTGATAAATAGCAAAATATACAATGTCACAGAATCCCAGAATCAGTTAGGTTGGAAGGGACCACAATGGGTGATCTGGTCCCACCTCCCTGCTCCAGCAGGGCCATTCCAGAGCAGATGGCTTAGGATTGTGTCCAGATGGGTCCAGAATATCTCCAGTGAGGGAGAATCCACAACCTTTCTGGGCAATCTGTTCAGTGCTCCATGACTGTACAGGAAAGAAGTTCTTCCTGGGATTCAGGTGGAACTTCCTGGGCATCAGTTTTTGCCCATTGCCTCTTGTTTTATTCCACCACTGAGAAGAGTCTGATCCATCCTCTTGGCACCTCCTTCAGATACTTGTGTAAGTTGAGGCCCCTCTCAGTCCTCTCTTCTTAATGCTGAACAGCCCCAACTCCCTCAGCCTTTCCTCATCACTGAGGTGCTCCAGTCCCTTCAGCATCTTTGTTGACCTTCACTGGACCTGCTTCAAGAGCTCCATGTCCCTCTGGTCCTGAGGAGCCAATGTCATCAAACCCCTGGAAACCCTCTCAATCAGCACTAGATCATTTCAATGAATTAGTATCTCACATGAGGACAGATCTTAAAGTTCCTAAGCTGGTCTACTGGAGTCCTTCCACATGTTTACATTAGGAGGGGCACCATGTGTCCACCTCAGGCAGCAGGTTCATTGAGCAGCCCTCATGCCCTTCCTGCTCTTCTGCTCTATGTTCCTCAGCATTCTGAGGGTGAAGTTATGAAGAGTGGCCTGTATTTTGTGTCAGGTCCTTTCATCCATTATAGCTGATGGATCAGAAAACACATCCAAGCTGTTAGCTCAGATCCTTTAATCAACCACTGCCCATTACACTCTCAATAAAGCTGAATTTTTAATGGAAGTCATTAGCTTTTGGCACTTTTGAGGATGTTTCATTTTGTAAACCAAGGTCTGCACCATCTCTAGCCCCCAATGAACCACTGTGCAGTGCTTTACCTCAAAAATACAGACAGACAACAGCACAGATTCCAGTCACTCTTTACCTTGCAGCAGCTTCAGCTGCTGTGCTGGAAGTGTGTGTTCTGTATTTAAATCCATTAGTGAGCAAAAATCATGTTAATCCCCTGACGCTGCTGAAGAACACTTTGTAGATGATACTGATTGTCTTGAAATCCTCAAGAAAGCTGTAGCTCCTGGAAGGGATTCTAAGCAATTGCAGTGAGAAGGTGTGAGCAAAATGATCTTTCACTTTACACTCAGTCTTGAAACTTGGCTCTCAGACTGCAGGAGATTTCTGGAGTCAAAGTCCTTTTCCACATCCATGTGCTGGAGTTCTTGTCCCTGGATCTGGAAATAGGAGAGAACCTATTTGATGAAGTGGATTTTAAGCCCTAACTACATTCTTATTGCAACATGTCAGGCTCATAAATCAAAATCAGAAGGAATTATAAGGGCATTGAAGAGAAAAGTAAGATTTGGTGCTGCTGTTTCTACTCAGAGTTAAAAAAGGGTCTCAGTTTCCCTCTCACCACCTAAAACTCCTTCAGGCTTAAATAAGCTTTTCCTCTTTTCCATACTGTAGCTGAGAGCTCTGATCTGCAATCAGATTGAATCTAAGCAATGTGCTTAGGTGTTACATCTATAGATTGTAGATCTAAGGTATTATGGAGCTGATGTGTATCCTGAGAATCCATATCTTGGCAGTTAGAAGGTGTCCCTGGCAAGTTGTTGGCTATGCTGGCAAGAGTCTCCCTGGGCTGGATGGCAGAATTAGCCCTGCATGGGCTATGTTTAGCATCTAGGTGACATCAGTTAAAGCCAACATATTCTTGGAGCTCCATAAAGATCTCTGTCCTCACATCCAGAGCACCTGGACCCAGTCAGTGCATCCTGAATTGAGGTATTAAATACCCTTTTCATCCCAGAATATGGGTATTTCAGTTACATCTTCCCTCTTAGAGAATCTTCCTTGTTATTCCATGTTAACAGCTCCCAAAATTCCTTGTGCAGCGCCTGAAATCCTTTTCCCACCCACTCTTTGACTGTTTGTTCTCCAGCAATGAAACTGAACTGCACCATTACATTTTTGCCCAGTTTTTAGACATGTTTTTGTAGTCATCAAGTGCACCATGATCCATTTTTTTTCTTGACAAGTAAAACAACTGTTGTAGCCACATCTGTACCATGGATATTGTGCTGGATCTATGGTCTGAAGTTTCTCTGACACACAGTGCAGCCAGAAAATGCCAATTCTCTGCAGCTGGAGAAATGCCAAGGTAAAGCTGAAACATTTATTGCTCTGGAAGACAAATTTCAAGCAGAAATCTGATTCCTGTTCCAGCAGTCAGAAGAAATCACTCCTGTTTTTTTGATAAAGGGCTGAATTCTCAGTAAGAGGACACTGATGTCATGACATTTAAATTAAAGCAAGTTCTTTTGGTGTTTTACTGTTTTATTGCCAGGCAAAATGTGGTGTTTTAGTATTAAAATAGATCAAAGGTGGGTTATTTTAAAGGTGGAAGCTCAGTTTGATAGAACTCAACAGTGCCTTCAGATCTTTGAGTTATATACTCATCACTTTGTAATTTAGCTTCAAATTGTCCTGCTAGTGAGTAAGTATTTGATCTTTTTCTCTAATATTGACCTCTGTGTACTTGCTCTGCTGTTCTTACAGCTGGAAGTGGATTGGGATAAAATCAAAGCCAAAATAGAGATGGAAATTGCCAAAGAAAGAGAACGAGCAGCAGACACTCCTGCAGGGAGAACCAGTGTGACTGTGCAGCAATAACACCTTGAAACTGCTTTTGGAGTGTTTTCTGCTGGTAGATTTTTGGCAAACATGGGGGAAAAAAAAATCCACAGCAACATTTTATGGGCAACAGGAGTGAGAATTTCTGTAGCTCTTAATGGTTGGGTGACACATGGAATTATTAATTTACTCTGATTTTGAGGTGTATTTATGTAGCTACATTGTAGGCCTTAATACATCTGAGAACAAAGGGAAACTAACTGTCTCATTGTTAGTAGCTTTGACATTTTCATTGCCATTAAAATGATTTAACCTTAGTTGCCTCTAACAAAGGACCAGTTTTCCTCTTTAAGCACCTTGGTAAGGAGTTTGGTTATTTCTGCAGCCTCAGAGACCTCTCCAAAGACTTGTTTAAATTGACCTAAACCAAATTTAGCAAACTAAAAGTGTTGGAAATTGTAAAAAAAAAGGAGCTTGAGCCTATAAAATACAAATTATTTCCCTCACAGATCTGGTGATACATATTTCTGTCAGTGCATATGTCCCAGCAAATCTTCTCTAAGAGATGATTTCAGGTGACTTCAGGTTTGTCAGTGAGCAAACTCTTGAGCAGTTAAAGGGTATTTTCTGAGGTAATATAAATTGGTTAAATACTCTGGAATGTGCTTTTTAGGGTTGTTTAAAGGAACAAAGAGCATTGGGGGTTGGTTTTGTGGCATCTCATATGTACAATCAAGAATATTTCAAATAAGGAAGAGCTTTTTGGTATTTTTTTTCTGCCCAAAGCACTTGATTTGCAAATATTACTTAGACATTTGTGTTATGTCATCAAGATACATTTTTGGGTGTTGTACACATGTGAAATGTTCTTTGTGTTATAATATATATATAAT